GATTATGATAAAAACATGGCAGGGATTTTTGAATCAAGACTTAAAGGTATTATATATTTAAAAATAAGACCTCAGTTTTTTCTTTGTGTAAAGTTAGGGTGAAGCTGTAAGCACATCGGTATTCACATTTTCAGCTCGTCTATTGTTTGTTTGCGAACGGTCCCTTTTCAAAATGCTAATTGCTTATTTCCATCTATCAAAAGCACAACGTTTTAACTGTACTTAAGCAGAAAATCCTTACCTTTGGTTCGAAAAGATGAAAAACAAATAAATTATCAAAGTGTGTGTAGTCGGAGATTAATTTTCTGACGCTTAATCGTGTAATCTTTTCAGTTTGCATTTGAGTCACCTCAACAAACGAGCGATATTTATATCTGTCATTGCCAGAGACGCTCGTTTGTTTTGTTGGCAGGGCTCGCTGGGACTTTGCTGTGTGCACTTTTGCACACTTGTAATGTAAAGGCATCTGTGACTGAGCTTATAATGGTGGTACGCTTTCTGTTTTATTGCTGGGTGGGTGACTGAGAGAGGGATGCAGATCAAGCAAGAGGGCAGAGGGCTCTGCACGTTCATTGGCTGCTCAAATCGGGCGGATGCGGGAGAGGAGGGGGAGGGGAAGGAGGAGGAGGAGGGGGTTGAGGGAGCTCATAACGCTGGTGATGAGAGGCTTTGTAGCAAAGTCATGTTTCATGTCAGTGCTGTAGGAGAACACGTCTGCTAATGTGCATCTGGGACATAAAAGATGGAGGAAGTTATATTCCTCTCTATTCCTCTGTTGTCGCCCTCCTGCTGCTTTCCACTTTCAATTTCCTCATTGTCACCCATCATCTCAGGCTTATATACATAATTCTGCTGTTCATCCTACAGCTGTCTCAGTCCATCCGTCTCCATGTTCACTTCTTCCCCAGTTTGGTTTCTCTCTTTGTTGTCTTCGCATTATTTTAGTCCCCCTTCCTTTTTCTCACTTCACACCTGTTTGAAAGCAAGGTGCGCTCTCAGAGACAAGTGAGAACACAGGAAGCCTTTTATCTGTTTATTCTCCACTTTTTTTTTCCACTTTGTGCCTTCTTATCTTCCCCTCCCACACTGCTGCACCAGCGCCAAGCATGCATAAATGCATCCGCTCTTTTAGCACGTCAGGTTTAAGACATGCTACGCATTCTTGACAAGGTTATATAAGCGAGGTCAGGGGTTTGCTCCCACTGATGCCCTCGCTCTCATTCTCCAACTCCGAGGGTACTGTAAGGCTCCAAAAACATATGAAACTGCTGGGTCATGTTTTTTTGTTTTTAGTGTGCCATTTGCACTCAACAATACAAGAGGTTGTCTGTCTGAGGATACACACATACTCTACATTTAGCTTTCAGACAAAGGGAGCACATTTTGAACGATGCAACCTTTAGCCAACACTCCTTTAATGGCACTCACATGCCCACACACACTCGCAGTGTAAAAATGGCAGCAGACCAACCTGGAGGCTGTGGACTCAAAATCCTCATAAGTACGAGCACTCGAGGCTCAGGCTGGCAGCAGCATGAAGTCATGTGTCAGTCACCTTGACCTCAGCGGTCAGTTGACATTAACAACTGGCAGATTTCACAGATTTTTCTGTCATATAACACAGCCTGCAGGTTCAAATGGTATTTGTTTGTGTGCGTGCGTGCGTGTTAGTGTGCGTATGAGAGAGAAAGAGCGAGAGAAATAATCAATTTATGCTTGAATGTGACTTGATTTGACAGTTCCAATGGATTATGAATTCCAGCACATGATTCCTGAATACATATGAGGACAGTAGGCCTTTTTATTAAAAAAGGCCAATAAAATGTTTTAATAGGGAAATATTTGCCTAGGAATGCAGTGGTCCTGTTACGGTAATGTGCTAAAGTCTTGAGAAAACCCTTGTTTCTTTATTTTTTGCTTGGAGAATGAGGAATGCATGCAGCGATTTATTGAAATGTGTCCAAACATACACGGAAATTTGTTAATATAAGGGAACAAGAGAGCTTGTACAGTTCTAACAAGTAAGCATTGAAAGTTAATAATTGGTATGACCACACAGCCTAAACTCTCTTAGGAAAGTTTTCAGGAATCGTTCTCCGGGCTTCATGAAGGACATTCAAAGCTCTTCTTTGAATGTTGGCTGCCTTTTTGTTCTGTTCTCTGTCAAGATGATCTCACAGTGCTTCAATAATGTTAAGGTCAATGTAGAGGCCAATCCACGACTAATAGCATTACATTGTGTATTTTTCTATCCAGGTATGCTTTTACTGCACAGTGTTAGTTTGTTTGGGATCATTGTCATTGCCAATGAAACACTTACTAGGTCATTTTGCATGGTGTATCATATTTTTCTGTGTTCATAATTCTGTCAATTTTGACCATGACAGAGCCTCCACCTCGTTTTAAAGATGGCTGCAGACACTCGTTGTTGTACCTGTCTCTATTCTATGTTGATAATTTGAACCAAAAATCACAAATTTTGATTCATCACTCCATAAGACCTGTTAGCACTGATCTTAATTTCAGTTCTTGTGCAATTAGGCCTTAACACCCACCCCTTTACTGAGACCATTTTTGTTCTATTCTTCAATTTGTTTCTATCGCAGGGGTCAGATTCATCTCTCAGATCCTGTGTCAGCTCTTCATTATGTATTTATTGAGGACTTTCAGCTACTGTTTATCTGCTGTAGATAGTTTTTTAGACCTGTCACTTCTTACTTTGTCATCTATTTTTCCAGTTTACTCAAAAGTTTTGAGGACACATCGCACACATTGCAGCTCTACTTTATTTAATCCAACAAATTGTGCTTTCTTTGCCATTTTTAAAGATTCGTCTAAAGAAACAGGAAAAGAATTATGCTTTTGTGACAGGCCAGGATGAGCAAATTGCCTAACGATACAATTTAAAATAGATTCTTTGTGAAATTATCTCTTATGTGTAGACACAACACTGGTCAATCCCTTGACTTTGGTGCCTTTTTGTACTTGATTCATAGGTCGGTGTTAAGTGGCTTAATAAGCAAAAAAATATTCCTCTAAAAATGGCTTGGTATGTACAAGGACTGGAGTGAAAAAAAACAACCAGCGTGCAAAGAAAAACCTTGAAAGAGAACTAATGCTCAAGATAACTTTACAGAAATTACAGGAAAATCTGGCTCGTTTTTAAGAAAATATAAAGAAATTAGGAGTGGCTCATTATATAAGGCACAGTACTGTAGAAGGATTGTTTAGTACTTAATAAATATCTTTACACAGTTCTGCCGCAACTTTAGAATCACAATCCTAATATTGTGTTGGCCTCCCTCGTGCTGCTGAAATAGCTCTGATCCATCGAGGCGTGGGCTTCACGAGACTTCTGAAGGTGTCGTGAGGTATCAGGCACCAGACGTTAGCATCAGATCCTTGAAGTTCGGTAGGGTGAAAGTGAATCTGTCACACTGATACAGGCTACACAGCACCTTGAACTCCTTTACATATTCCTCAAATACTGGGTGCATTACTCTGCTGAAAGAGACCACCGTCGTCAGACAAAAACTGCTGCCATGAAGGGATTACAGAGGTTATTGTTAGGTAGGTCAAGAACGATCTTCCACGCTTGAGTTGCGATATTAACTCAGACAAGTTAGACAAGTTAAAAAACTTTAAAGGAGTGTTTTAACACTTAGGGAAAATATTTTCTACTCTTACTTGCTAGAAGGGCTGACACCACTCTCTCTGCTGCTCTTTGTACGATAAATACAAATCATATAAGCAGTCGGTTAGGCCAGGTTAGCATAAATACTGCAAAAGGAGAATAAAAACATCCAATTCTTTCCAAAGTGAGACAAATCTGCCCTACAGCAGCCCTACAGCTCACAAATCAACACACTCGAACTCCTAATTATGGTGTGTATAAATATTTATCATTAATTGCTTTTACCACATGAGACTGTGGCTAAACCGTCTCCTCCTGTTTACAGTCTTTATGCTGAAGTAAACTAACGCTTCTGTAAGTAATATCATCGTATTGCTTATTGTCCAGGAGGAGAGTGGTGCAGATGAGGTAAATAAGTCAACCTCCACCTTCAAAACGCTCACTATGACCTTTCGTGTGTGTCTTTGTGCGTGTGTATGTGACTGTCGGTTCGCTGGCCACTTCCTCTATAAACAAAAGTTAATGATAGTTCCGGGTTAAGCCAACAACAAACAAGAGACCGCTGCCTTTCAGATGAACTTTTGAACCAACGGGAACCACAAGCCAAGCTGAAATTGATGCTTAACCCCAAACCAGTTACTGCAGTTTGATTTTGTTCTGGACAAAATGAGGGGAGCAATAAAAAGGGATTAAGTAAGAGGGTTTTTTTGTTTGTTTTTTTGATATTCGTGACTTCTGCACATAATACAGATCGCAAAGACCTTACATAAAACAAAATCTGAATTGTCTGAATAATGCCAGATGTTCAATTTAAACTACGTCGCACATGATGTACACGTGCACTTTCAGTGAACCTGTGAGTATTAGCTGCACCTTGCAATCAGAGTTGACAAAGCAATCTTAACTGAAGGTCCGCTTGCTGAGGTCTTCCCAAGTTTTCGCTTTGAATGTCATGCAGATTACTTTCCATTATCTACTTCAACAGTGCACTGACAACTGAGCTTTGAGAAAGACGGTGTGATATCACTGAAAGGTCCAGAAGAAGCTAGTCTGAGCGCAAAAGATATTTGGTCAGCTGAACTTTTATTAATGTATTTCAGCGACAAATCCAAGTGCTGGCTATTCTTAACTGGCTTGAATGTTATCAGTGTGTTATTTTCTGACCATATAAAAAAAAAAATAGTGGTATGTGCATCTGAGCCCAAATTTAAGCTTGTTTCTTTAACAGCAGCTGCAGCATTTCATAGTTTAAACCTGCAAACTCATAGCAGTGAACACCGCTAATGGAGCAGTGATCACTTTATTTATATAACCGCAAGCTGTTAATAAAACACAACCTCTCTTCTGTCTTCATGTCTCCTTACAGCCTGTCCTGTGGGCTACTTTAAGTCTATTTCAGGCTCTATTCCCTGCACTGTGTGCCCATCCAACAGCCGAACCAGCCATGAGGGATCGAGTGTGTGTGAATGTCGCAGCGGCTTTTACCGGGCCGCCAGCGATGCCAACTCTTCTGCCTGCACAAGTGAGCTTTGTCTGTTTGTTTGTTTACGCCTGGCTCCTCTGCGAGGCGTTCAAGGGGCCTCATTGGAGTCATTTGTCATTTGCTCAGACTGTGAGAACCGAGATACACAGTCAATGGAACAAAATCCTTTTGCTTTTAAAGACTTTTTTAATCTTTAAATTGCACCAACAGAAAAACCTGTTAAGAATGAAACTTTCCTACGCTCGTTCATACGAAATTGCCTCACCATCAAACTATTTTATAAAGTTCTTTCCATTACTTTTCATTGCATAAATGTCTTTGCCAGCCTGCAGGTTCTTTCATATCTTAAACATTTTACCAGATGCTTCCATCTTAGAGTCCACCGCTTGCATTATGTATGTCAAACTCCTCCCATTCTCCCCATCTCTGCTTTCTCCGCAGCTCCTCCGTCTGCTCCTGTCTCTCTGACCTGGGAGTATGAGAGCGGCGATGGTGGGGTTTCCTTGAGGTGGCGCCCTCCGGTGGACATGGGAGGCCGAAGTGAGGTGTGGTACGGGGTGGTGTGTCGCATCTGTCCGTCACCGACCTTCACCAACTCGGCTTTGTGCTCTTGGTGTGGGGAGGGCGTCACCTTCAGCCCCTCCCAGACCAACCTGAAACAAACCAAGGTCACCCTCAACAACCTGCTGACCAGGGTCACGTATCTCATACAGGTGCTGTGGAAAAACGGAAGATTCTTCCTTGTCTTATCTCACTCAAAGTTTGAAGCACTTCCTGGACCCACAGATGAGATGAATCCACTGTGCTCTATTATTTTATTATAAGTGCCGCATCAGTAAATACACACCAACATTTAATATTTAGTTCGGCATACCTTGACTAAAGCATCGCTTATTCCTTATTCATAATGGACAGATATTTCCCCATTTCCTGGCGTTTGTTGACCTGTCATAGTGGACGCTGCACGTGTCTGTCTTTGTTTCTCAAACGTTGAAGCGTGTCATAAATATAAATGGGGAGAAAAAGGCTTTGAAATTCACATCTGTGTGTTCTTGGTATTGACAGGTGCAAGCCATGAATGAAGTGTCAGCTTTGAGTCCTTTCCCAGTTCGATACTCAAGCATCAATTTCACTACGAGCCAGTCAGGTGAGAACAGGACGGAGACGATGAAAAAGATGAGATGAAAGAGGAAGAGACGCTCTGATGATGACGTTTGCGTAGATTG